CCCCCCCCCCCCCTCCCTCCCCCCGCCACCCCCCTTTTAAAAATTATATACATACTAATTTCATTTTAATTTTAAAATAACAAAAATTTGACATCATTACAAAAGAAATCCCTTTTTTTTAAATATTATGCAAGTGGCGAGCGAAGCGAGTGAATTCAAATTGGCATATTTTTAATATATAAAATACTAGTTTTAAAACTACTATGTACAGAAGTAGCGTGCGAAGCGAGAGATATCAATAAATAGCCTCGTAATACCCCTTTTTTGCGAATTCAAACTACATATCAATTTTATTTATACTAGATGTTTCATTTTTATATTTTAAGTATATTTTAACACCCCATCCATAGACTAAGGGGACTCGATTTTAAAGAACCAAACCTAATTCACTATATCCGGTTTTGGACATAATCCCAATTTTATTTTCTAGACTTTTTCTAAAAACATTTCAAAAGAATTTTGCGAAGGAGCCAAGTTGATAGCTCTACTGGTTCATACAGTCATGTATCGATTTATGAACAGGATTGTGCACTTTTCGACCATGTCAAATCTTGGATTTCGAGGTCGAGTATTAGCTGTTTGAACCTTCTAAGGGTTCTTATATATAATAAATTCAAGTATTATTAGTTCAGAAATCATCTTTGTGGTATAGAAGGCTTATTATGCTTGCTCAAAATCACCATTTACGTGCCTGCGTGTCCATCAATGACATCCATTTGGTGTGCATATTCAATTATATGTCTTCAATATGATTTTCATACCTTCGTTATATCTATATAAGCATAATTAAACCACAATAAAATAAATGGAGGATGTCAGAAAGCTAAGTCTTTTATTATTATAATAATTGAATAAAAATGGAACATAATTTAAAAGGGGAGGGGTGGGTTCCTTCCCAAAAAAACACTTTTTTTTAAACATTCAATAAGATATTATTTTTAAATACTGCATTCAGTGTATAATATTAACTTCAAAACAAAAAAAACTTCGCTCGCTACTTGTGTAAATAATATCTGAAATAAACTTCGATTTTTTTTTTAGAACAAACCCGTTTCTTAGCCGGTATTTTGAATTATTTCCGAAACAGTTTCCGAAACGGGTTTCTAACCCAAAATCAATATAACTCCTATATCACGCATGCATACACATACAGTTCCTCGCAGCTAAACACTATGGGGATCAATCACGCACTCCACTATTTCAAAAAGATTTACGATGGGGAACTACAAACCATATATGATTTAAAAAAAGTGCGCCACACACTTTAAATCACTGTCTGATGCGTTTGAAAACCGTACTATCTCCATAGATGCATCATGCTTAGTGCATCTTGCAATCACACGCTGTACGCGTTTTAGCTACTCAAATGCTGAGGAAATAGCAAATGAAATTTACAAACACAATAACGGAGGCTGTACACCTGCACTTAAGAAAGAGATAGTTGCTGTCTTTCAGCTTTACCACACTACGCTAACGAAGCAATTAGGTTGTGAACCCTACTATGTTTTTGATGGTGATGTACCGCCGTCGAAGCGCTACGAAGCCGGACAAAAAAGTCTGAATGTCAAGAAGGCTTTTGATAAGTGGCATGAGGAAGATGCTAAAGGTTTAGGTAAGCAGAATACAGGTTTCTCTTCACTTAAAGTAGCGTGTATCCGTACTTGGGATCACGTCCTTGTGGCTCTTGGCATTTGTGCAACGCAACAGTATCCTAGAATGGTCACACCCTATGAAGCTGATCAGCAGCTTATATATCTTGCTTGCAAGTCTGAGGCATCGTCATGTATTGCTACTGTATATTCTGACGTTCTGGGGTATACGGGGTTGAATGTTTATCTTAAACCAATTAACGAAGAAATGCGTGTAAAACCTACGAAATTCAATGTGTGCCTATATACACATGATGATCGAAAGGCTTTTATGACTAAGTAGAGCATTACTGAAGGTGCAGTTTTGGCGTATGTGTTACTATCGGGATGTGATCATACTAGGCAACTACGTCAAACAGGCGAAGCACTTACAGGGGTAGGTGGAAAACGAATAGCAAAATTTGATGACAAATCTTAAGAAGAAAATAGATTCACCTACTAGTATCTCACACAAGTACATACTGGATGCACTAGAAGATGTATTAGGTAAGAGTGTGTACAATAATTGCAGGTCATCATTCACGCAGGCTCTTTATAGTTATACACACGCGTGGGTATCCGCTGATTGTGAAAAAGATTGCATCTCACTTTCTGGTATACCAACCATTGATGTCGAATGGGGTTTTAGGGTTTATTCTGGCGGGGAATACAATCCGTTCACATGTCCACATAAAGCGCTAGATGTGTATGACCCCAGTTCGCTACCACCTATCTTCAAGTGCGTATACTCACCTGTAAATAGTGTAGATTGGAATTTATTACCAGTAATATCTGTCGACTTTATGAGGGATTATTTTGGTTCTGCTACATATCAAAAAGGGCAAAACCGTACTGCTGCCCGTATATCGGTTAAACATGATGCTGGTAGTATCCTGACAGATTTTCAGGGTGTTTCAACTGAGCCAGAATGAATGATGTGATTAAAATTTTCGTTTTCAAGTGGATGAAGATACGAATATTGGCACAAAAGATGGACAGACAAATGTGTGTCACAGCCCATATGCCTCGATCAATGAAAACTGATTCATGCAAAGCGTATGCTAGGTTGAAGATGGAAGAAAATGATGAATACGACATTGCCGAGTATTACTGTGAGTGTCTTACTGCTGTTGGCGGGAAATGTGTACATTGCGCAGCCTTAGTGTGGACGATGACTATGCAGACAAACTGGGGACGTGAGATTTAGACACTGAATTATGTATGAGCCTGGTAAATACAATGATGTGTTCTGAGTTATTCCACGAGTTATAGTTGATGTGGTCCATTTAAATATTAACTAATCACAAATTTATATGAGTTTTTGTTTTTCCTTTACCATTCTGCAGCCTCAACAGTGGCAGGTGCCTACTGGTGTTCGTGATCACAAATTTATATGAGTTATTGTTTTTCCTTTACCATTCTTCAGCCTCAACAGTGGCAGGTACCTTGGATGTGTTCATTCCTTTGTATGAGTGACTTATTGAAAACCCATCGACTTTATCTCAACGCATGGATCGACAGATGCTGGACAGAACCGATGCTGTCAAGAAAAGTTCATCACAGCAAACAGCCAACAACGGTTCATCACAATCCGAAAATGTTTCTCGGACGCACTTAACACACAAACCTTTTCCCATACACAATCTGCTACCACACAACGACAACCACTATCGATACGAGACAACAACACACAGTTACAAAACCGGACCTCTTAACAAAAGGAACAGCCACCCACCAAAGTGAAGGATGCAAAGAAAAAAAGGTCGCCTCATTGAAGAGCAACTCCACCAATTCTGTCAATTGTCACTGGCAGATATTGACACGTCGATGCCTCAGGACACGACCCAGGCGACAGTGAATGACCTTTTTTCTGAGACTGAGGCCAAACCAACAGTGCAACAACATTAGGCCCCTCAATATCCAACACAGGCAGAGTCGACACCAACCGACTAGTCACCTGGCAGCGAGGCTATCGACATGAAGCAAATTAGCCCGGTGAAACGCAGGAGTGGCCGCACGAAGCCCGTACCCCAAGTGGCTCCTTACGAGAACGACCATGTTACGCGCATAGAGCGGTTGCTGATGAGATGCCGGCTGATGGTCCGGATCGGTATCAGGAATCAACAACTTTGGTGAAATCACCTGGTAAATACAAATTGGACCCAGCGGACTTACACATGGACATGGCTACCCCTCATAATTTGTCATCATCGGCGAAGCGGTCTTTTGAGGCATTTCGCAGAGTGATGAAATCTCCACGCCAACAGCCTACTCACGGTCAAGCGGCAGCAAATTCATTCCGGGACAAATCACAACAACATCGTCGTCCGCGATCTCCAGAAGAAAAAAGGAGAACTGCCAAGATAATGCAAATGTACCTATCGATACGCTTGCATACCGTAAGCACTTTCCTGTTCACCACGATCGCTACCTAGAAGACCCACAAGACGTGAAACGATGTAAGACATCACCGCCTACTGAGGCGTGCATTCCTGATTTTACTGCAGTAGAGATGAAAACGCAAGTATTCCTACTCACCCAACGAATGATGCAAGCAGAAGATGAGGGGCGCACCGAAGAAGCTCGTTCGTTGCAGGGTTTAATTCGCACATTCAACGAGACATTGTAAACTTGCTCAATAACGGTCGACACCCAAGGAATGGCCACCTAATCCACAGGGCAGCTATTATTTTAATAATCCGCAGAAGATACAGCTGCATGCATTTATCTTGGATTGTCATAAGAATGCAAAATTTCACAAAATAGACCCGATTCTTATACAGATGGGCCTACATAGATCACTACAGAAAGAAGAAGCACCCAAGGCGCTCTTGGACTTTATGGTGGAGAACGAACAAAATTGCAGTCCATGTCGTTTCAGGATGCCACCACTTTTATTGTACGCACACACGAACAAGATCTGGAGGATAACGCATACAGAAATGTATTGGCTTGCATGAAATTAAGCCCTTCGGTGCCGCTAGAGACACAAGATTTTGAACGCAAAGTAGACTTTATGGAGATGCGACAGTATGAGAATCCGCTACAAGTGTACCGCAACCATGATATGCTCAACCTAATCAATCAAACTGCAGGGGTGTGCATATTACCGTGGTACTCTTCGTATGCACCCAAACTGGCGAGAATATTCCGTGGCGCAAATGTGTGATGTATTTCGCGTGAATATTGACCAGACGGAAGAACACCGTCGGGCAAACCTTTCCCGACCGCCACAAATCCCTGGGGGATCACGTTCACGCACACGAATGCGTGTAGAGGAAAACACACAAGCTAATTCGCATGCGCCGCCAGCATCGAACCCTAGGGCTCGTTGTCGGTCATGTGAGCAAAATCTCCCTCCTGGCCCAGCACACGCACCACATTGTCCAAAGTTAAGGAGAGCACCGACATCAGCTAACGCGAGCAGCCATACGCAACATGGGGGTGCGCCACCACACCGTACATCAGCTGGAGGAAAATAACAGGCGCCGGCTAATACTTTCCGCCCTCTGATTTTATATCAAGGCGATATTAACGCCTTAGAGTAATTAAAGGCTTAGGTTCAGTCTAAGTATAGTTAAATTCGAAATAAATAAACGAAATGAGTCTTTTAGTAAAGTTGGGTATGTCTGGTGAAAACAGCAATACTCTGAGGGATTGTGAGGCTGCGACATTGACTATATATAATGCTCTCAGTGCTGTTTTCGCCGAAGGGATTTTATTTAGTGTTTCGTTGTCGCTCTATTAGAAACTATGGAATGTTTCGTTGGGGCGAATCCGAGAGACTCATAAAATCCTATCTTTGGAAAAAAAGAAAAAGAAGAAAAAAAATACTCTTGATGTCCATAGTTATTGCATTAGCCAATAACTTGACACTTATCAAAAATTACCGACTTAGCCTTCATCAGACTGGCACATCTGGTTGGCTGAACGGAGGTTAAACTAGGTGACGCTAATAGTCCCTAGAAACCTGTATTCGGTTGAGCCATCTCGCTACCGAAGTATTCAGATATAAATAGATTTGGAAGTTAACACAGTTCTATTAATAGAACTAGTCCAAATCATATATTTGGCATTTTAATCTGGCCTTTTAATGGCCGTATCCAAATATCTGATATGTACAATGGAAAAGGTATTTAATTAATAAAAACCGTTAAAAACTATTTTAGGAAACTTAAGTTCCTCGTACTATTAAGAGTACGTTTATAGTTTACGTATTGCTTAAAAGTACGTTTATACCATAGAGTCTAATGTGAAGGCCCGGCTATTACACGTCGAGTTAATCTCGTGCATGGGGGTGCTCAGATGCCTGATCCGACGCCAGCAGAGGTAGGAGAGAGTGAGGTGATGCATATTCATGATTTGGTCGACCAGTCGTATGTCGACAGTGAAGATGAGTTGATGGAGGCCGAGCAAGGGCCAGCCGATTGGGAAGAGGAGCTAAGTTCAAATTGAGATAATGGGGTGTCTGAGTTAAACGCGTGCGTGACGTTTGGTCAAACGGCAACAAAAATATTTGCAGTAAAAGATAAATTGTTCCCTACTGACAACCGTATATATGTTACGTTACAAGTCAACGGACACGCGATGCGCACACTCATTGATACGGGGGCGAACCGCTCCGTTATTACTCAGGCATCCGCGGCAAAAGCGCAACTGTCTATTACACCACCAGCTAAGAATAGTTACATATACTTGGCGGACAAATCGTTCCGCACTCCGCTTTTCGGCAAGACACACGCCACGACGGTTCAATATGGTATAAAGTCTGCTGCAGGTTGTACGTTTGATCTTATGAACTTACTCGATAATATTAATGTAGTTCTGGGAATGGATATTATGAGCGAATTGGGCTTAGGTCTTACTGGACTATCAACACCATTTCCAGAAATCAATCGTAATGTTATGGATGAGCTACTCGAACCGATCGACATTCGCATGGCACCAGACTTGTCTGAACCTGAGGATGTACGGCAACGACTACGACAGTACTTAGATGCCAACGAGACCATTTTGAATGCGGCTCGATGTACTCTACCAGGCAGCGAAGTATCCCTTCCCATACCTCGAGATAAACATTTGGGCCTTCGACGACAAACACGGAACTTTGCGTCAGACAAGTAAAAAACACACATCGCGCAACAGGTACATAAAAGGGAGCATGAGTTGGTAGCCAAACGTCGCACGTCGGCGTCAGTGGTCAACCTGCCTTTACTAGCAGTACCATCATTTACACCATCGGGGGAACTCATTAAGGTTCGGGTGTGTTTGGATTTGCGACAGATCAACGCCCTTATTCCGGGAGACCAGTTTACGTTCCCGAATGTCGATGAGATTATTAGTAACTTAAGAGGCAAGCGATCGAGGAACATATTGCAACAGTTGAAGAGGTCATCCAACGGCTTACCGAGAACAACTTCAAGCGTAACCAGTAGAAGTGTCACTTTGCAGTAAGCGAGGTTATGGTCCTGGGGAAGAAGGTTTCTACGAAAGGAATTGACGTTGATCATGAAAAGCAACAACGGTTGATCGACTGGCCAGTGCCGCGATGTCAAAGGGACATAGCATCTGCATTGGGGTTGGCGAACTTTTTACATGAGCATTTACTTAACTTTGCACATAAAGTGGCCCCACTACGATCGTTCTCGAAACTCAAGCCGAAGGAACCGATTGGGGATTGTTGGAAACCAGAACATCAATTGGCATGGGATCAGATGAAAGAATCAATCCTGTCTGCGGTACAGTTAAATTTTTCGGTTGACGGGGTTCCACTCGAATTAGATACTGATGCCAATGATTATGGTATCGGAGGTGCATTATTTCAGTTAATTGACGGCCGCAAACACTACCTGATGTTCTTTTTGAAGACTCTCAGCAAGGCGCAGCAGACATGCGCAACACAAATAAAGGAATTGTTAGCGCTTACATATGCATTGGTCCAATTCCATGATCATTTAATAGGCCAGCGCTTTACCGTGCACATGGGCCACAAGGCGCTGATATATATGAACACCCAACTGAAATTGAACAGCATGCTGCAACGATGGCATCACATCTTTGCGTAATTCGGTTTTGTGACAATACACGTCCCTGGTGAGCTGAATAAATTACCAGACATGTGGAGCAGGGTCCATGAAGGCATGGCGGACATCAACTTTCCCGCCATCTTCTACACATTGTGCTGGAAGTTGTATCCCAATTCCAATGATCAGACTCAAAAATACTTCGGACCTAACGACGTTGACGCCTTTGTATCAAGCCACAATGATCAGCTACGACAGTACTGGCCATACGATTAAGATGGAGGCGCTTTTAAATTTGACCGGAGCAAGTACAATGCATGGATGAACCCACCATGGCGCCTTATTCATAAGGTACTTCGTAAAGTATTGACGGATATGGCGTCCGCGACAGTGTGTCTCCCATTGAACACACGGGCGCCATGGTTCCCTCTACTTCTATCGATGATGCAAGCAGATCCATTGCTTATTCCGCGCACAGCCCATACGTTCTTGAAGCATGGCACACAAGCATGTGGTAAGTATCTATGAATTCGGTGGTGGTACGATTGACCCTCAATCGGGTTATAAAGTTTATCCATCATTTTGGTGTAACTTGGGTCTCGAAGTTCCTGTGTGTGAGGATGCTCATAATCGTTATCAAGAGAAATAAACGCAACCAGCCATGACCAGATGTACACGCCAGATTGCGAAACAGGTGCCTGAAATTTGTGCGGGGGCGGCACTGATCAATCATCCTGGACATGAAGAAACTAATCGCCGGGTACAGCTTACTTGGCAGTTTCATGAACAAGGACATCCTGCTCCAGCGGACACAGTGCAACAGATGCAAGAATTGAGACCAAAAAATTCGATGAATCAGAGTTACCATTTACGAGACAAGGATGGCAACAAACCACCGGAACTCAGAGACCGTCAAGTTAATGTGGAGATTATTCGGTTAGTTCACCGAGCTACGAAGCCACCGTTAGATGAATCACTATGGAGAGAATGGGGATCAACATTCCGGCACATCATATTACACCGCCACAATGAGGCGACTTAGTAATCGGAGTACCTGATGCGCTGGTTAGAGGGCTCTCCCACATGGGTGACAGCGGATGCCTTTGATGATCCGAACGTGGTGACTGCATACCGTAAGCGGATTCAAACTCGAGAGAGTCGACGACAGCGACGGCTGGTCCAAGGTTAAACATGTATGAGTGACGACTGCACGAGAGGATACACTTTGAGGCATGCACACAGTACTTGCAAAACATAGACAGGATAGTGTATTAGTTTGCATTACAATAGTCCTATATATTATATATCATTCAAATAGGTCAAGGGCAGCGGCTATGATACTACAGCACAATCGTAAGTAGATAAGTGATATTCATACATAATAAAAACTCATAACCGATACCGTTGCGCCTATACTTATATGCATACTTAAATTACATTATCAGACCACACTACGAAAACATTCATACACCCCAATGATATGTTGGTGATATGATACAGTGTCCTTGATGCGACACGAATACCACAGCCCAACACTATACATACATAGGCATGAAACAAAACTTTGAATATTATACATACGACGCACGAAGTCATTAAACAATGA